GGCGGCGCTGGAAAGTATCGTTCCGATTTCTTCAGATATTTCGGTTGGCGTGCTATGAGAGCGGGAACGTTTTTTGAATAACAGCATCAGGCTTCAATGATGCGTGCGCTTAAACGTTTTCTTCTTGTCGCATATATAACCAACATGGTGTTAAACATGAACTGTTCTCGAAGGCGTTGCAGAAAAACCTTGAGTTTTATGCAGTATGCCGTAGTGTCTGTTTGTCTACTGTAGGGAATAAAGGAACGTGGACTTGATGCATCTTGAAAGAAATAATGTGAGCAAACAGTAAGCAAGATAACAACAGCATATGCCGTGGATTTTACAATAGAGATTTTCTTAGAGACCGACGGGCTTTTTTCTCACGGTATATAACATAAGTAAGTACGGTAAGTAACATTTTCCACCAATGTTCAAGATACGAGCTATTCTACAATCGACTAGAACCCATTCTGTACGAGACAACCTTAACGCGAATAATCCTGCACACACAAATTATTGCTAGCAATTGTATACCATTTCCTTACTTGGAGTTTCCATAATGATATTTAGGTCTCGTATATGTATTCGATGAGGATTCGTTGCATTTGATCAAAGGCCTCAGTCTAATGAACATCCCTAAACAACTAGAAATAGTGCATACAATAAGTAGGTGTGCAAGCCGCCCACATGCTGGCTAGCTATCAATTCATACTAGAATGCTGTACAATTTTGACGCGTGCCTCACAAGGCCACAGCTACATCGGACAGCCGTCATTTCAATTGTGGGAACTTTACTATAGATAGAATACTCTACAAGATTGTGGGTATTTCAGGATGTTAGAAGGACGAAGAATGAAAATCCTGAGCAAAAAAATAGGAGCCTTTCGTCGAAGGCAGTTTTTCAACCTAAAAGCCATAACTAAATGAATGCTCGATATACCAGATTTGAAGTGTACTAATTCAGTTATGATTAGCGGCTCTACTACTTGTATTTTATGTTGTTTATAGTGCCCATTTTAGCTGAAAGGGTCCTTTTATTATTAGGCAAAATATGTTTTTCAGTTATTCAACAACTTGACATAAAATCGCGAAACGAAGTTTTCGCTACGGAACGTCTGTGTTTATAACTTTTAGATATCGTCCAAAAGTTGAACTTCTCAGTTTTAATCCGCTAATTAGAATTTATTATTCGAAGAGTATGAAAAAAGCTAATATATGTGATTATTACTAGTGAAGTTACAATATGTGTGTAGGATTCGTTGCTGCGATCTATGTGAATTCTACTACCCAGGCGCTCTTTGCTGTTCTATGTAAGAACCTATTAGAAAGAAAAGTGAAAAATCCGAAGTTACATCTCAGTACAAAATTAAGTTCACGCTGATGGATATAATGCCGTCGATTCATATTGAATTTTTATCTGCGTTTGCGATAGTGAGTCTCTCCCTTCATATTGTCCTTGGTGTCTTGCTTAGCCTTGTTTAATTATTGCATTGTTTTCTGTTCGTGATTAGAAGAAGCGGCTTCCAAAAAGAGGCGGAATAACTCTGATCAAAACTTTCAGCGTCTATTCATGTCGCTTCCGCTCTCGAAATTGGACCAACGGTGTGAGTAGTATAGACCTCTTCTGCTGCCTTCTTCTTTAGTGCTTTTGCCTTTTCTGCTCAGGACCAACGGCAATTTAAATAGACTCTACGCTAAATTACATGAATCGTCACTCCCTGGGAGAGTTCAGCAGTAGCGAACAGCAACGATAATAGCAGGGCCTCCTTGCTGCCCGTCCCTTAAGCTCTCCTGCTTGCTTTAGCCATTTTGTTATCTTTCCATTCTCTACCACTTTTATTCAGCGGCTCGTTGATTAACTGGTTCGTCGCTTGTCTGACTTTGCCTCTCCTTCAACTCTATCCTATTTCTTCCAGCTTGAACTCATCGCTTCCTGTTTCTCGTCGTTTTTTTCTTCTCCTTTCTTTATTTGCCGCTCCTTCTTTTTCTTGTCCGCTCTTGAGAAGAACATCCACCATTAATACGACCATAGCTGGTTTCGCTGAGGTCTGCTGCCTCGATTGCAGTACTAACGTGGGTACCAAAGTCTATCCCATTCCACGGCGACTCCAGAGGTAACTTCACGTACCTCTCGTCTCTTTTTAAGGCCTTGAAGCGTCCTGTTGTAGCTGGTAAGAGGTTGGGCCACCCTAGCTAGCAATCATACTGGGCTTTTTTCTCACTTCTAATCTACCTTTCTATTCCAGTTCGCATTAGTGCGCCGTGCTGCACATAACACTGTCTGCCAGAGCTCTCTGGCAATCTGTGAAAGCTGCTGGTCTTTGTTTACCGTCTTTATTGGTAGCGAGTTGCCCATCGCATGTTAGAATGTGCAGAACCTATATATTTTCAGGCGATGTCGCAGAGGACTATAAGTAATAAAGCTTTGATAAAAACGACCTAAAATAAAGCGCCACTAGAGCGACGATCGAATAGGCGTTGCCTGATACACGGCGTACGCTGTAAGAATGTAAACATGAGTCAGCAGTACGTAACACACAGCTGGCCATAATTAGCCACTACAACCTCCTCGACGCTCAACCTCTTACAGACTCAATGGCCACGCCTATTTACTGTAACTGCTAGGCAACTTAACATCGGAATATCTTTAACAAAATTGATGTGCGTCATTTGTCCAGCGATCTATGTAGTGAGCGTCAGAACTAGTACACTTCAAACGCTCCACGAGGTCTAACTCACAGGTGCCCTTCTCACTGAATTGCAGGCAACCGCAGAAAAGCGTCTGCGCATCTCTGTGTAGCAAGTTTTGTTTTTATTAAATACCGCCTGTTATGATGCTATATTATTTATCAGTTAGCTTTGCTTTGATCAGATCGTGTCTATGTTTACAGAACAAACAAACTGAACACGCTTTTTGGTATGAACACACAATCCGGATACACAAGATGTCGCAGCGTTTTTAAATTCTTAGCCTAAAACGAGAATATGAAAATGTGGTCTTACTAGTAGTATGTCAGGTTACAAAAGCTAGACGCCGCTTGTATAGACTTAATGCACATGACCCAAAAGGACAGAGCTAAAAAAAAAAGTTAAATTTTGAGGACTTTAGGTTCAGGTAGACCTTGAGGCTGGAACACAAAAAAAAATAAGGAAGCAGCCGACAACAGAAGGTGAGTTAGGAATGTCTTTCAATTTTTGTTTGTAGAAGTGTGGCCAACCCGAAATCCCAATCACAAATTTGAAATTTATTAAACCTTATAAACGCATTAATTTGGCTTCCTTCTTATACAGACACTATAGTGTGCACTTTTTAGCCTCATCTGTCTGAGTGTACCTATAAACTTATAGAAAATGTTTAGCACTGCCTCTTAAGGGGAAACCTGCAAGATTTAAGCTAAACTAAACGCGTCTACTGCCTAAAAATATATTGTTATTAGCTAATGCTATATTTCAGTATTTGTACCTGGTTGAAATCCCTTTTCTTTTACAACGCAAAATACTAATCGTTTTATTGTTACTATCTTTCGCTTGGGCTATATATTATTTTGAAAGAAAAGATCTTTATCTTTATACGCTGAGTAATAATGGTTAAGAAGCTGCATCGACATTCGGTCAATATAAAGAATTGTAATACGCCCTTTCCGATTCTTCTACTATTACTTTCATTATGCTGAGTTCTGGCCTTGGTATATAACGGTCCATTCGCTGGGCGTCTCTCTGGCGATACTACCTAGCACGCCATGCTATATTGGTCCAACGGCGTTTCTAGTTGACGCGTTCATTGGCTGAAGAGACCTCTACATCAATCTAGGTTTAGTAGGGTACAATCCGCCTTTGGAAGCAATTCTCTCTTCCGCATTCTAAACACGCATTCGCTTCTGGCATCACTATTTCTTTCCTCAATCACTCCACGTTCAAACGTCTCTTCCTCGCTCCCTTAAGTTCTCTCCTAACCTCACCCTTGGTTACCCATTTCACAGCTTTCATCTTCACAGTAGCACCTCGAACTTCCTAACCAGTCGACACTTTCGGTGGTAAAACTTGAATTTCATCTACACTGCAGATTAGTGTATGTTAGCATCAACGACCACGACATATCCTTCCAAAAACAGTTTGCCCCAAGATCCTGTCTTGTCATCTCCATTGCGTTACCATTCTTGGTGTTAGCGTCTGCCTAGCGCTGAATAAGATCAGTGAGCCCATCTACTGCTACTGTGATCACACCCATTGATCCAGGCATGCATTCAAGCTTAGTATTAGTAAATAACGGCAGAGAATGAATGAAAACCTATACTATATAAACCATATAGCTTCGTAACTATTCTTAAATAATGTGATCCATGCTTTTGTAATAGAAATATATGAATATATGATCGATTGCATTATAGCATCACTCTAGGTTTCTATGGAACAATTCCTTGGCATTATACGTTGTGGCTTTTTAAAAAAATCATGCTACACGAGTAAACTACTACAACAACAACAACAACAAACAAAAAACAACAAGAAAAATTACCCGCGGATGTCTGATCATTTGAAAAGCTGTGCCTTCGTTGTTAAACGCTGGAGGATATCCTTTCACAGTCTAAAGGTATTTTATGGACTATTTACAAATGAGAAGTCGTTAGATGATGATATTCTATTTGACATCCCCATTACAAACGTAAAATAAGCACGAAGTCAGTGCAGTAATCTTGGTTACAAAGTATTAATCTAATACTATTCGCTTACACATGTTATGTAATGCAAATTGCCCCCAAAAAAAACTTATTTAAAAAAACTTATAAAAAAAATATTATATAATCTAAAGTCAAACCTTCAATACGCTAAATATCGTAAGAAGATTGTGGTGTACAAAGGGTAAACAATAACTATCTCTGAGTAAGCAAAAACAAAGTAAATAAATATTATATTATATATACTACAAAAAAAAGACCGTTATTGTTTTCTAGCTTGAATTTGAATGCTGAGAGTAATTTACGAAAAAAAATGAATATGATCATACATTATAAGTGCAAGTATAAGCCTCTCTAATCTCGTATCGCCCCAGACGTAGCATCTATAATTGGCGAATGAAAACATGCAGGTAAGGTTTTTATTCAATATTAAATTTAGGGATTATTATTATTCAAAGGGAGGTATACTGAAACAGCATCTGTATAGGATCAACTTAAAGGTGTTTACATGAGCTAAATTGTTCGTACAATGAAGCTGGCACACGTTCATGCTTCAAGTAACAAAAAAAATGGTAAGAACCAACAGATCGATAAGCCTTTCGTAGTCGTAAGTGTTATGGACAAAATGATGGAAAATTTTCACTTATGATATATATATATATATTTTACCAGTTTTTTTACCTGTTTTAACCAGTGGAAATATTTGACAAAAAATTATATCTATGATATTAAAAAAAATTATAAAAATCAAAAGTTTTATTTTCACTTAGACGTAAGCGATCTAGTCGCCTTTTCCGTCACATCGATCAAACGTACCATTTATTTGCTAAAAATACGTCTGAATTTGACATTTAAAGAAAAGATATAAAGGCTTCTTAGCTCTAATCTATACATCTTTGTGTCTATTAGTCGAAGCACATACATTGTTGACTACAAAGGCGTTAAAATATTGTCTAGCAGGAAAAATACGTATATATAGTAAGAAAAAGTGTAAGCGTCAAATAATCTGAGCACAATGGCCTGAAAGCCAACCAATACAAAAAGTCAGGGCGTACCTCAGTAAGGCGGCGTTGATTTGGCACAACCGCGCGGTGGTACAGATCCTTTTGTAGAGGCATTTAAGGTCTATTCAAGGTCACTGTGGAGTGGGTCCGAACCGGGCATAGACAGATTCTCTTCGTTTTGGAAGACACTCGTTTGATGGAATGCCTGACGGTGATATAGGACGCAGAACAAACTCGAAGCACGTTGAGACATATCAGAGCTAGCCCGCGGACCGTTTTTCTGAGAAAGAGCTCACGTCGCCTAAGGAGTTCAATTTTGTCAAGACTAAGATTAAGAAACATCCATAAGCTTTGTGACTGTTACTCAAGCGAACGCGAGACGGACGGCAAAGGCACAGCAGTGCGGGTTAAGTCATCTGCAGCATTCTGCGTGGTCCGACACTACCAAGAGCAAAGATGCGACACGTTAAGAAGTTTCGGCCTGTTAAGAATGTGGTGTGGGTATCGAGCATAGGCTACATCCGACTAGTGTGCAGCATGCCCAAACCCGAAAGCTTAGCCAATATGGGACTCCCGCCTCGGCGATATCGGCACACCAAATGGCGTATTGGCGTTCGTTGTCGGTAATGTGCACTTACGGCAAGTTAAGAAGTTTATTGGTTCATTCGTGTGAATGGCAGGCTTTGTCACTTTCGACCGCAGGGCGCTGTTGCAATGGCTCTGAGACACGCCATTAAGGTGTCTTTAAGCTTTTCTAAAGCTCGCCTAGACACCATGCTATTCGCGAATCGAAAACGCCGTGTTATGGAGAAGGGTAATTAAGGCTCGAGCTCGAATACTTGTTGCGTTTTCCCATTATGTGCAACAACAAAACTAGGGTGCTTGGAACGCCGGTTTAACTATTTATCCATCAATCACTATAAGGTTACCCTGCGTTTTGTAGGCCATTAACCGTCTAAACCGCAATATAAAAAAGTGTTGAAATCTGTCGCGTAAAAGCATCACCGAATATTTAGAAAACTCGCCGGCCGAACTTTAACAACGCTCAGTTCAAGAACAGCTGGAATTGGCCATAGGACCTATGTAGTATCTCCTAACAGAGACATGTTGTCACTCCTGAATGGAGACGCCATATTGTACGTATATGCGTACGCAAGCTTACCCAGCCTTCCCTAACATACCTCACCGCACAAGAAGAAGTACCAAAGGACATCTGTTCGATTACTTGAGTGGAGACACTACAATCTAACGCACTTAGTATACGATGCAGTCCATTAAATACGGGGTTTTATCTGCCAAATTTTAGACCATCGTCATCTTCATATATAAGCATTTAGTTTTAAGGTATTACTTTAATCTAGTTCGTAACATCCAGGCTATGCTGGACGGGTACCCTGTAATTAAGGCCGTTTACTTTCGATACATCATTCCTCATACGCTAAATACGAGAAAAACACTATTTTTCCGATACCGAGGGATGTATAACACTAAGCATTCTACACTACCGATTGTATAAATCGCTAAGTACTTAAACTAGTGATTTATAGAATTTGTTTTCTCTATTGTTGGATGGAAAGTGGAAAGCAGTGCTTCTTCTCGAATCAATACTTCAATCAAGAAGCTTTTTACCGTATTGCGCCGATACATTTCTCCAAGAACTTTACAGCTCTGCTGTCGCAAATACATCTATTTATGCTTAGGTTCTCCTTACTGTTCAATATAGAACTATATACTTAATTTGCTAATAATTGAAAATGGCGATAAACCGGCAAACGGAGATCTGCAGACTGTTGTGGTACAAAGGGTTTTTCTAGGAGTTACTATAGCTAAGATAGTAACAACGTTTCAGATTGTCCACGCATATAATTTGGTGGTATGTGCTTGAGCTATAGGAAATCGATCGCAGAAGTCACGGTGGAGAGGAGCACAAAGATATACAAAGAGGAACCTCACCTGCGTCAGCGATCAGCTTCTAAAAAACCCCATACGAGCCCTGTAGAATAGGACAGATAAAGCGGTACGGATTAGAGCAAAAAAAAAATCAATAGTGCTACTGTTGAAATTTCATTTCCGCGTTTCTGCCATTGCCTACTAGTAAGTCCGTTGTTGTTGCCTTCATTTCGATCTCAGTTTGTGGGGAGCTCCGTAAACATTGCGTGTTCCGTGTTGGTAGTGTGTGTTACCAAACGATCGAAGGTAGCCAAAGAATCCTGAAGTCGGTTGTCACAATTCGGAGCTTTTTGTCGTGTTTATAGTTTTTAGACGCTTCCCAAATACGTCTCTTTTTGTCGACACCAGACACGTTTGCAGCTGACCGAAGTTTGAAGGTACGAAATTAGTGCCAGGTAAACGTTACTATAGACTGATGCCGTTTTTCAATGAAAGAAACGGGAAATTATTCAGAGAAATCAACTTCAACAGACAAATACCTTTCGCTATATAATCGCGCTATTGTTAAATATTAAGCCAAAGTCTGACGGCCTCTGAGATGGCTTTTTTCGGTCAATTCGATGAGACTATTGTGTCAATATTTACGTAAAATTAAAAAACAAAAAACGACAATTGGGCGAAAGATGAAATACTCAAATTTTCATAGCTTTGTATTTTTTCAAATTTTTTAATATTTTGTAGTTGCTTTCTACAGAGACGTTCGAACTAAAACTATTCTATTTTGTGTAATGAATGCAGTGGCACCGAGGGAAGGCTAGGAGCATCGGTGGTTTGTTCCGAGGACAATATCTACAAGTTATTAATTCTGTATATAGTATTATAGTTCATGTACTGGTAAACAGAGCTGTTATATATTTTTACATAGTTTTGGTACATTTGTCGAAAGCTCGCTTCAGTTACTTGCAAAAGATATGGCGAAAATGTATGTTACTTAATCATATCTGCACTAAACAATCTCAAATAGATGGGGAGCGTAAATATATGATTTGTCAGTGTGTCAGCTTTTGTAGTAGACGAAAACAAAGAGCGTTTACGAAAAAGTACCCTATATAAATCAATTTTTAAAGAAAACAACTTGTTTAAATGTACTTGTTCGCTCTCTGAGGCTTGACTTCGCTTCCTATCGATGGCTACAGCAGCTTCAATACCAGATCATAGCATATTTGTCGTCAGCCTGCTGCCGTTGAAAGTATTAATTCTAAGTCGATGTTATCACAGTAAAGTTTCATGAAAATCGGGGTCCTACTAGAATGGCTATGTGTGATAACTATTTGTCGTGCAAATAAGGCCAACATCATAAAATAAATAAAACCTGAGGTGATACACGAACAAAAACTCTTATCGGAAATAGCCATGTTCGAGCCGAGCGGCCATGTTCTACCGTTTAACGATATTTATAACCTACAGAACACATCTCAAGCTATAAGCGAAACGATACTATGTCGTTTCTACTTGCACGATGAAACGCCGATGTAAAATTTACTGATCACTGATTGTAGCTCCGATACTGACCATTCGTAGTTTTTATTCAGTTCCAGTTGAAAGTTCTCTACTTTACATGGAAGCCTTCCGCTAGAAATGTGTGTTGTATCAGCGGAAGCGGCAACATCTGCTAAAATTGATGTAGATCAGATTTAATAGCAGTTTACCTTCGGAACGAGTTATTTGCACGGGGCGCAAAAACAAGAGACCTACCTGTATTTCTATTTTTTAATTAGCTCTTATTCATCACAGTAGTCATAGTCCAATTTAATTACCTAATACTCTTTTTTCTTTATATCTTTGTAAATTGGACATTTTCTTTTATCTCAATTTCTTCTTCTTTCGTCAAATACTAATCCCAGCCCTTTTATATGCAAACAAACTTCGTTGAGCGCGGGCTAAATTTGGCTCTGTATAAGCTCGTCTGCTAGCAGCGTGCCCTGTTTCTTAATCTCGAGAGTCTACTGAACATTCTAGAGCTGCTGCTCAAACTGTAGATGGAGACTGACTAATCGAGCAATATAATACACGGATAATTTTCCACATTGTCTAGACTTTATATCGTGCGAGTTTTTTCCGCACTCTCCCACATAGTTTAATTGGCCATAAATAATCAGCAAAGTGCCTTGCCATATAAACCGATATTCTATTATCAGATGTTCAAAACAGAAGAAGCTTCAGCACCAACGACTAAATACAGAATTTATCACCTACTAGTGGTTTATTCGCGTACTTTTACGCAAGTCGCAATCTAGAAAGCCTTTCGTATCCCAATGTAAACCACCTCGCATCGGTGTGATACTTTTCGCTTATTTGAGTCAGATAGGCTGCGCTGCTATTGCAATGGCCCACTGGAAAACGACAGTGAGCAACGTATACAACAGATGCAAGCATGCTTACCAAAGAACACATACCCGTAATTGCAAAGTTCCATTCAGGTCAGGGTAGGTCGTACCACGACGACAAAACACGAA